AAAAAAAAAAAAAAAACAAAAACCGTGCGACGCCACCGAACCACCAAAGATTCACACTAACATCACCACTGTGACACTACGACACCACCACAGACTCACACCAATCATCGGAGCAACCACAACAATCACGACAAGAGACACGAGACAGCCACATCAACACCACCATCGCACAACAACATACCACCCCGGCACCATCACATATTTCTTCCCACCGCGACACCACCGCCACAAAAAACCCCCGCGATACCACGGCAGATTCACACTAGCATCATCATTGTGACGCCGCCGAGACACCATCGCACCACCACAGATTCACACCAATCGCCGGAGCAGCCACAAAAACCACGACAAGAGAGAAGTATGGGAGAGAGAGAGAATATCGTAAAATAGAGGCGGACCTTGGGGTTCTTAGACGACGGCGTCGCTTCAGATGTCGTCGCTGCAGATATTCCATTTCAATCGCCGCTTCAATCGTTGTTACGACGACGAGAGATAAGATAACTGCAGTGGTGAGGCTGAGGCGGTGGCGGCGATTTCAGTTTAGGAGACGGTGCTGAGAGAGTGGAGAGAAGAGTAGCGAGAGAGAGGAGAGGTAGAGAGAGAATGAGTTTGGGGGAAATGACGTGGGTGGAGGTAGGTAGGGTTGATTTCTAAATTATTTAGGGTTAGGATAGATTTAGGAAATTTGGGGAGGGGTTGGATATATAATATTTAATACTTGATTTAATTATTAATTCAATACCTAATTTTTGATTAAATAAAATTCACACCTGAATTTTGAATTTGAAAAATTAAATGACTGATTTTTTGTAATTTCCCTATTTGAAATGCAACAATCTAATGTGAACTGATATATAAAAAATGTAGGAGCCAATCTTGATTTCATAGGGTTAAAGTTAAGAGTTATAGACTAATTACTATCCAAGTTGGGATTTTTAGGTTATATATATAAATTGTAAATAAAAAATTATATAAAAATCGATTTCACTCGGATACTCACGGTTCTGCTTCAGGAACCAAGAACTGAATCGGACTCAATCGATTATCGATTCCGGTTCCTAATTTATTTTTTTAAGAATCGAACTGGAACCTCTGATTCCGTATCGATTTCGATTAAAATGCCCAGACCCATTACCGGGTTTTGATTCGTTGATCTCTTTTTTCTTTTAGTGATTCATATTCTTTTTTCTTCTCCATAGTTGTTAATTTCTTTATTTGTTTTGTAAAATATCAGTATTCTAAAATGTGCATATATGCTCAATACGTTTTTGAAAAGCCCCACACATGGGGTATGCGTGTGATAATATGGTTAACTCATTTCGTTGACTGCAAATGCATGCTTAAATGCCAAAATTTGCAAGCATTTATATTAATAATTGTATTAAAATTAGCTTAACAAAGTTTAGTCTCCATTTTTATAACTTACATAAAAAAAGTTCAAACTAATCCAAATTGCCCAAGCACGTGAATTATATACAACAATTTGTAGGATTTTGATGTTTAGTAAAATGTAAAATCAAAACAATTTTTTTATAGAGTTGCAAACTATCTATGCCGAACCCTAGCCCAAACTCGCATTCTTCTTTGTTCTTCATCAAGTTTTATTAAAAAGTGATACTAGTAATAAAAAATCTTGAAGTGATAATGTTTGTGATGATGGGAAGGAGGTTAACAATGGCGTCTTATTATCTACAAGAAATAATAGAAATTCTTAAGTTGAAATAAGGGAGCTCGATAAAAATCATGTTACATCATACGACACGAAAGATGACTTGGACGAAAGAATGAGATTGAATTGAAATCAGATAAAGAATCAAACAACATTTAGGATTTTTTAAAACCACTGACAGTGTCTAATCGAATTAATTGAATACCAATTAATTGTAATATTTATGATTTTGAGCAATATGTTTTTGTTTAAAATTTGAATAATATTATATAAAGTTTAAATAGTTGTAGTATTTATAATTTCGAGCAATATATGTTAAAATTTGAAGAATGTGCATAAGTTTCAAAAAATGCATTATTTTATTTATTCATTAGATTTGAATATTTAAAATAATATTAAATATTAAAAAAAATACGGAGTTACATATATGCTTTGAATAGGTACGTATATGCTTGTAATGTTTAATTCTCAATCGAAACGTATTATCACGTATTACGTATTTTAGAACCCTGACAAATATTATATTTTCCATTTTTGTCTAAGAAATAGGCGCACGAAGATTTAAATCATCTTTCAGAGACATGTTTAGCTAAGCTAAAAAATAATCAAATTTAACAGTTTTTAAAAAAATTTGAAAGATCTTGTTTATTTTTCAATTTAAATAAAAATATATTATAAAATAACTTTTTAACAAATTTCTAGACGAACACTATACTAGTAAATATATTTTTGCCAAGGTATCTTTTGTTTGAAGAGGAAGGATCAATAATTGTTCTAAAGCTTATTGTTTCTAAAGTAATAAATAATTATATGTTAAACAAAAAGAAACCCATAAAATTAAGAAAATAAACTTCTCGAATTTGCAAATCTGTCATCAGCCATCATATGCATAAACTTGAACCTAATAATTCTTAGAATCTAACAGTACTGGGACCCCAACAGCTCAAATCCATCACTTTATCCATAGATTTTTCACTTCTCTTCATCTTCGCGATAGCAGCAGCAGCAGCAGCAGGAGAAGAAGGAGGAGGAGGAGGAGAAAGTGAAGAAGAAAATCTTGCAGTTAAAGGTAGAATTTGAGTCTGGTAATAGGATTTGAGATTGTTCTTGGCATGATTATGCAGTAATCTTAAAGGATAATTCCATCTGCAGACTCCTTGATCTTTCAGTGCCTCAACTGCTCCAATGCTTGCTGCCACAATCCATGCTTTTCTTGGTGCACTCATGTTTTTTGGTGTACAGATACAGATATAGACAGATCAAAACTGAGTAAAATCAAGAATTTTTATAGGAATTTTTCTGTTTATTTGTGGGAGTGGAAGTCATGATTCTGTTTATATATAGGGAGGGATTGGGGAAAAACCAAATCTGTGTGTGGACAAAAACATGGATGTAGAAAACTAGAAGCGGCTGTACCCATGTTTTAGGAACAGTCCACAGTTTTTTTCAATATGAAAAGCAGTAAAATTCAACTTACTTTAAGTCATTTTCTGTGTATTAAACCCACAGATTTTGGATGTATCAAGGAAAGAGTGATTAGCCCCTGTACGGTGCACATTTTAAATTCAAGAATGCATTTTTTTTATTTGATGTGATGGAAAATATGTGATTGAAAAAGAAGGAAAAGTTATTGATACGATGAAAAAAAATTATTTTATTGAATAATGTGTTGTTGAAAATGAGTAGAAAAATGATAATGAAAAAAATAATATGGCTCAAATAGGGGTTAAGAATGTCTATAAAGTATAAACTATTACGACTTATATATATTTAATCATCACGTTGCATCTTAATTGGATGGTGGGACCAGCCCAATTGAATCAAGGTGTATTTTTCTAACCACTGACGTGTCAACCGAGGCCCTAGGTTATTCTGAGGCCCTTCTCCGAGGCTCATGGCACCACCACGGACTTGAGACTCTTTAACCGCTGTTGACCAAGTGTGAGATTCACTCATGATGAAAATCTCTAACCACCACGGACCTGAGGCTCTAACGACTGTTGACCAAGTGTGAAGATTCATTCATGATGAAAATCTCAATTTGAAGGATTGACGTGACTTGTGTAAAAGTTTATTTGTATATTGCTTTGTCAATGTAAGAGTATTTAATGTCTTGTAAGGTTAGGAGAGTCAACCAGATAGTTATGACTTGATGTCTTGGCCGATGAGATGGTGTCACGTGTAAATTGATCCAAAGGCCTTTATTTCATTTGTAACACTATAAATACCTCCACTATGTAACAGAAAGGGTTAATGAAATTCCAAATACTTGAAGCAATATAATTTTCTCCCCTCTCTCGTTTAACAACGTATTTCTACTACAAATCTTGTTCTTTAGCGATTGCTTTTTTAAACATCGTGCTACTATAACATATAAACAATAGGATATTTTTTATTTTAAATGAAAAAATAGTTACGTTTTTATAGGCTCCACCACGGACTTGAGGCTCTTTGTCAGCTATTGACCAAGAGTGAAGATTCACGCATGATGATAATCTCTTTTTGAATGATTGACGTGACTTGTGTAAAAATTTATTTGTATATTGTTTTGTCAATGTAAGAGCATTTAATGTCTTGTAAAATTAGGAGAGTCAATTTGATAGTTATGACTTAATGTCTTGGCCGATGAGAATGTGCCACGTGTAAATTGATCCAAAAATCTTTATTTCATTTGTAACACTATAAATACCTCCACCATGTAACAGAAAGGGTTAATGAAATTCCAAATACTTGAAGCAATATAATTTTCTCCCCTCTATCGTTTAACAACGTATTTCTACTACAAATCTTGTTCTTTATCGATTGATTTTTTAAACATCGTGCTACTATAACATATAAACAATAGGATATTTTTTATTTTTAATGAAAAAATAGTTACGTTTTTATTGAAAAGACAATTATGAAAAAAATACTTATTTACTCGACTTTTACCGACTTCAAGAATAAGCTTCTAATTATAAATCGAAGAAAATCTTGTCAATGAAAATATTAGCACTAAAGTAAAAAAATAAAAATAAAATATCAATATCAATTCCATACATTGAAAAAAAGAGGACATTTGTTGTAACAAGAATAAGCTTCTAATTATAAATCGAAGAAAATCTCATCAATGAAAGAGCTTGTTTGGGAGGAATTAAAATCCAATTAACATTGAAAATATAGCTGTTATTGAATATCACTTGTCTAATAAAAATCAATAATAACAATTAATTTTTCAATTTTAATATGATTTTAATCTCTATCAAACAAGCTCAAGTACTAAAGTAAAAAAAAAAAAAAATCAATATCAATTCCATACATTGAAAGAAAGAGGATATTTGTTGTAATTAGAAGATAACGAAATGTTTAAGATGGATAATTGATGCTGAACTAAAAGAAGATTTTGAGTGGAAAGACCCCGATGAGTGGAAAAGGACATGCGATCTTTTTCGAACAAATTCCATCATTTAGACTTTCGAAAAGGCCGTTTTTTCCTTTTATTGATAATTTTGTTTTAGTAAATAAATTTGAAATTCAATTTTGTTTGTTACAAATTGATATGAGGGTTTTTAACTTTCGTCATTATTATTATCTTACTTTAAATAAAAATTGTAAACCTTAGAAACATTTAGGTCCTGTTCTGTTTGCTGTTTTGGGACCGTTTTCTGTTTTCGATTTTTCAAAACAGTGAAAATACGTTCTCTTTCTCATTTTCAAAAATTCATTTTCGAAAACAAAACAAAAAAAAATACTGAAATCTCAAAACGTCTTTTTAGACGTTTTGAGCGTTTCCTTCTGAAAACCCACTCACGGAATCAAAACGCGGAAAACGCCTCATTTTCCATATCCCCCAAAATTCTTCCTCTTTCTTGAGCCTCAATTTCTTCTTCATTTTCTAGGTTTCAATTTTCTATCAATTACTTCCTTAAAGAAGGAAATGGGGATCAAAATATAGAGTTTAAATTGAAGTTTTTTTCAAGGTTGATTGTTGTTTACTGGATGATATTTTGACTTTCATCGAGAGAAAATCAAGTATAAGAACAATGGCGGTGGGTCAGAGGGTGAAGAACAGTCAATCAACGATACAAGGATCGCGGATTGCGATGGCAATTGGGATTGGAGTTTTATCCGGGTGCATTTTCGCCTTCTTCTTCCCTAATGGATTCCTCTCCTCTAATCCGCATCGCCGTCTTTCCCAATACAGTCTCGAGGTACCCATTCTCTCCATTGGTAGAGTCTCCTTTATTTTTCTTCTATTTAACTATTTCTACATTATTCTTCTCATGCGTAACTACTTAAAAATCAATTCTGCTTATGCATCTTCTAGAGAAGTTCTTATTCCGGGATTTTAAAATTAGTAATGAGCTGCAATTTGTGGGTTTCATTTGTTTTGCTGTGATTTATGTAAATTGAGGGGGCAGTTAACTGAATTTTTAATTTAAGCTTTTCATTTGTTCCATGCTTATATTTCTCAGGCTTCAGCTGTAAGAGCAACTTCAAAGATTTGACTTTGATGTAATTCTCATTTTCTTGCAAAACTGTAATTATTCTGGACATATCAGTCCCTCAAGAAACAGATAACGAAAGAGAAGGAAGATCTATTTGTGTCTTTTAACAAAATATGTTGTATATACAAGGTAAAATAATGGTCTATGTATAGCTAGAGTTGATGAATAACTTTTGTGTCAATGTAATTTATTTCATTGTCAAACTCTTTTAGATATACTTTATATGTTGTTGATTTGGTACATAGGAGGATTTGTCCTCATGTGAATTTCTGGAAAAAATAAACACGTTGAAAGCAAGATGCTCTAGATTCATTCCTAGATGGTTCACAATAGCAGTGCAAATGTTAAGATTGTGTTGATGGAAATTTTCAGGGCAAGTTTTTCTTGTTTATTTTCTTAGTATGTGGGTAATCTTAACAATATTAGGAAACTGGTGTGATTGGCTTGCTTGGGATTAGTATTTTTGTTCCTTAAATAGCTTGAGCCATTTTTTTTGTTCAACCTTGTTAAGTTGTTCTCTAATATTGTTCTGTTGCATTCTTTTTTGCAAGAAAAAGTATGGGAATGGACTTTTAAGAGCAGAAGCCAAGAAAAGTTTCACGAGGGATCCATGTTTCCCTTGCTTGTAACCGAGGACCTCAATGTTTTGCCTGAGAAAGACCCGCCAACGTATTTGGGTATGTTCTAAATGTGCAATCTTTACTCTACATATTCCGATACAATCCTTTTCTATGCTATTGTGTAGATTAGAATACTGCAGAAGTGAAGAATCAAGAATGAGCATCAGAGAGCTCAAAATGCAGACGAAGAAGTTGATTATTACTTGAAGATGGTGAATCCATGCAGGAGTCTATGGTTCCATTGAACTTTCGAGCAACTGCAGAAAAATATTGCTTGAAATGTGGAGTTCAGATGGAAGTAGGGAGGGGAGGGAGAAGTTAAGGGAGAGGCAAAGGGAATAGAGAATGATCAAAGATTTTGACTCGATTCTTTTATTCATTTAATATTCTTCTAGATTCTAACTATATTCTTCTTCTTTCTTAGTAGTTTCATTGTTACTTAGAAATGTCTTGAGATATTGTAATGGTATTTATTATTACTGATGATAGTCATCGTGTTTAGATGATCAAAATTGTATTTGACAAGAATTGTGAGAACTAACATGAACTGGACATGATTGATTTCAAAATATTTATTACCATGTCAACGTAGTGCTCCCCTTTTTTGCAACTTGATTAGGTTTGGTTGCGATTTGATGATAGTTAATTCTTGTCACAAGTTACGTACAAAGACAAAAACAAGGACTTGCTAAATTTCATTTAGGTCATATTTTTTATATATGGAAAAAATATTTTAAGATTCATCAATTTCATAATTTATATGTTATTTAATACTATATTAATATTAAACTACTAAAATTTATTGAATAACCAGATTTCTTGAATAAAATATTATTAAAAAAATATTCTCAAAATTTCAAAGTAAACTCGTTTTTCATTTTCATGTTTTGAGAAACAGTTTTTCATAATGGCAAAAAGAACATATTTTCAGAAATTTCAAAACAGACACTCAAAACACAAAATACAAAACAAAAAACGAATTCAAAACACAAAATACAAAACTGAAACACAAAGAGAACGGCTCCTTATTTTTTCATATAATAAAAAATTAGTGAGAAATTTTAACTTTACTCTCTCTTTCTTGACATTCATAAACTAATCAACAAATTTGAGTTTCCACGTATGATTCTTAGGGTCCGTTTGGCTTGATTTTTGCTTTATATAGAAGAGTTTTTGAAGAAAGTTACATCAATTTTTTTTGTTTTTTGAAAACTAATTTTTAAAAGCACTTTCTATTCCAAAAGTGCATTTAGAGAAAATCACATTGAACCATCTTCCTCTAAAAGCTCTTTTAACTACTGGAAGCATTTTCATAAAATTAGTCAAACGGATCTCAAAAACTATTTTTGACTTTTCAAAAGACATATCAAATGGACCCTTATTCTTTCTTATAAGCCGTCGCCAAGTAATTAATGAAGGCTAAAAGTGACATAGATTTTTTAGCACACGAATATTTTGAGAGTACAACATTATATCACTTCCATGACAATAAAATAGAAGGCCAAAAGTAAAACACAATCTATTATCTTTTTAGAAGTACTTTTAGAGGAAGCTATATTGAACCAACTTCCTTTAGAAGTTTTTCTAACTACCAAAAAGACTTTCATAGAATTAGTCAAACTGATCCAAAAACAGTTTTTAGGTCTCAAAAGCTCATTTTTACATTTTTCAAAAGTCATACCAAACAGCCCTTATTCTTTCCTATAAGCTTTTACCATATCAATAGTGAAGGATAATAATGACAGATTTTCTACACCACGCGAATATTTTGACAATACAGCGTAATATCACTTCCATAACAACAAAATACAAGGCCAAAAGTAAAACACAATATGTTTTCCTATCAGAAGTTGCATCTAAGTATACAAAATGCACGGTTGAAAGAAGAAATGAAACTATTAATTTCGCATCCTCATTCAGCAGAACCACACACCACTGTATTTTGCTTGTCTCTGCCCTGACAACCACACACCATCATTGTATTTTGCTTGTCTCCGCCCTGACGAAGCATTAGACTTTGGTGTGAAGAATAAACTTGAAAGGCTAACAGAAGAGGAGACAAACATTTGATGGCTTTAACTAATTTGTGCTATATCAAAATCATCTGGTAGTCGAAAAGTGTCAGCTGCACCTATCTTCTTCCTTCCTTCTGAATCATCCTGGAATTCTTCTTCGTGACTGTCGTTTTCATCTTCTTCGCACCTGTATGGTGAATCAGGTGCATTGATGCTTTTGGATTGGCAATGTACGTTGGCTAGCACGCTTACTTGGCCGAAATGAGATATTTCAACGACTACAGTGTCATCGTCTGTGGGCAAGGGTTGTTTCCATGGTTCACCGTCGATCCTCATGAAAGTGTGCTCAGCAGCACCCTTGTGGAACTCAAAACGGATTCTGTTCGCCTAAAGGAGCCGAAAAAGAAGTTGAATAATTTAATGGACAAAGGTATAGTATTTGCAAAAATATGTTGAGGAAAATCATTCAACAGATGAATCCCACTTTAGTAGGAATCAAAATTGAAATTTAGAACATCCACTAGAATGGAGGAGAAGGGATAAAATTCCATGTTGCCTCTTGAATACGCATGTTTCCAAGTTTGACATTCCCCTCACAGTATTATGATTCAAGACATTGAACCTGCACTGCATTTGAGGACTGGTGGTGCGATGACACTCACCAGAACACCACACTCCAAGAGTATATTGGCACCAGCTCAATATAGTTTGGATTAGGAGAGAACTTTGTGATTCAAATGTAATATTTACCTGTGCGAGGCGAGTCCCGTGCCCATTTGGACTGAGCAAGACAAGACCGTGCCATGCATCTCGAAAACCGACTACCTCAAGAAAACCATCGTCAACATATGGCGGAGTCAAGTCTCTCTGTTGCAAGCATAAGAGTGTAGAAGTATAAAAATGGTTTTTAACAGAATATGAAGAACGTGACATGTGCTTAATTGTTACTGTAAAAAAACTAAAAAAGTGCTAACCGAGTGTAGCTTCTTCTTATTAGGACTTCCCCATGGATTAAGACCCCCCGAAAAACTAGGCAAGTTGAGGCAGACAATGGACCTAATGCTGCATAAAAAATTCAGCTTCCGTGACAAGAGATCATAAGAATTTTCAAAAAGAAATGTTATGTAAAACTACAGATGCTACCTGCGAGGTATGTGGAGGTCTATCCAATGACCTGGCTTTTTCATGATTTTGACTTTTGCCAACTGAGCTATGTTTCTGTTAAATACCAGATGCCCATTAGACTTGTCATCATGAACGTTTAAATATTAAGCTGACAAGTCAAACGCCTCTAAATTATGACAAAATAGAACCACCTTCTTTACAAAGATAGCAAATAATATTTTTAATTCAGTTAGTAAACAAAGTACTAACAACAAATGAAAGACATCATAAAATTTTTCCTTCCAATAGATCTAAAAATTGATAAAATGGGGGGAAACAACTTAATTTCGAGTTACATTCCAACTTATATTCTTGTCACTGTTGACTCTATCATCAACTTTGGTGGGGGAGACCAAGTCCCACCTACACAGTATAATCCTATCAAACTGGGACAAATGATTTACGATTATATATATGTAAAATTCTAGCTAGTATGCAGATAATTAATATCACGTGGATTGACAGCAGCACCTTCTACTTGTGCAAACTTGAATGAAGAGATCTTTCCTTTCTACTTTTCTGAGATTAGCCATGCAATGCAAGGACAGCAACATAGAGAAGGGTTGTGCTCTGCTGGTGTCTGAATTCTGTTCTGTTTCAGTGTTTTTATCACGATCAGTTTAGTTGTGTCTCTTTTTGGTAATTTGTTATGTCTTAAGCAGGGTATTTTAGCCTTTCACATTATTAGGTTTGTCTTTTAACTTGTCTGGTATATAAACCAGAAAACGTGACATTCAGTTTTTGTTTTTTGATAATATTATTACAGAATATTTATTGGCTGCTGCCAGTTCTTTGTTCAAACTTCTTGAATCGTATTGCCATCTCTACTATTTTCCGTATGAAAAAATTCTTATGAAAGTGGGCATAAGGATTATTACACAAGCAAATCCAGTCCAATGATAAGTAAAGATTCAATGTTTAAGAATGATAAGAATGGCACAACTTACAGGTGAACAAGGCCAAAAGATTCCAGAGACAAACTAACCTTGAAGATGGATGCATGAGAGAAGCACAAAACCAACCTTGCGTACAACCCAGCTTAGCATATGCACTCTAGTCAAATCAAGAAGATTTTAGTCAGCAATAAGCTGAAAATTATTGAAACGTTACCGTTTTACCCATTTTAAAATTAGTGAAAATGGTGAAAAAAATTGGATGACCATGATGAAATGTTATATGAAATTATATGGACATGGTGAAACGTTTTATGAAATTTCACCTTCTATGAAATTGGATGACCATGGTGAAACAAAATCAAATTGAGTGCTATGGTGACACTAAATATAAAGTCGGGTGGCCATGGTGAAACAAAATCAAATTGAGTGGCCATGGTGACACTATGTACAAAGTTGGGTGGCGATTGGTGGATTTAACCCATCAATTCATTATCCTCTTCATAAATCAATAAGTAAAATGCTCATGTCATCCCGAGATCAAAAGAACTTAAACAGCCCCAATTTCCTCTATATTATACTATTGTAGAGTACTCGTGATCAGCACCCAAAACATCCCCTACAATTAATTGAAACCTCTTCCTTTATTGTAAAGTCACCACCCACCCATAAACTATTGGCCACATTATCCACATAAAAAAAGAGCGAAAAATCCCATATAGGAGTCTTTATGAGAAATTTTTAGATTCGGCCCTGATAGCATAATCAACTAAGAAGAGTCTATGTAGGGCAGTGAAATTAATTTCTGAAATGGCTTCAAACAGAAAGAGACTGGGAAGGAACAATATTTTGAGGCAACTCTGTCACTTGGACAAACTACAGATTTTTATTTTTTATTTTTTTCTCCCACATCAGCAATATAAGAATTTCAATAATCAAGTTAAGATTAATAACATGTTGCACAGCAAGAAAAAGGACAGATGTGCACCTGATTAACTAATTGGCTTTTGAATTTTTCAGGATGTAGCTTTCTTTCAGTGTGAAATGCATAAGAAACTTGGGCATCCATCCCTGCTCGGAAAAGACCATTTTAAAGCTACCAAAGAAACTCAGTAACTAAAACAATAAGGTACAGAAATGACAACCATCCAATCCTTTTCATAAGTATGAAATTGATGTTTCTGTCTGCTAATCTAATATCTAATTGAGCAAACAAAAACTCAACTACGTTTAGGTCGTCCAAGTTCATATTTCTAAGAACTCTCCACAGGGTGAACACAGTCTGCATGAACCTTGCTGAAGGCGGGTAACATTAGCATCATGTATATGGAAAAGCCAGCATTGCTCCTAGTACTCTCAAAACTACATTTTTCTTTACAATTCTTGATGCCATCACATATTAGAGACATTAAAAGGCGTACATAAAAATCCTTGATGGATTTTACCCCGAAATGGTGTGATAATATAAATAAGGTTGAACTGGTTTCATAAGATTTCAAAGGCTTAGTAATAAAGATTCTGATATATATGTATATATAATAGGGATAAAAAATATTACCAATGCTGAAGTAGTTCCAAAATCCCCCGCGGAAAGTGAGGCATCCCTCCTGAAAAATATGACAAGATAATTAACAGCACTTATTCTCCAATCTTGTTTGCTCTTAATGTTTTGTAACATAATTCTAAATTTACTTCTGGGATTATATTTAGGGAGTCAGAGAAGGAAAGGCATAAAATGTGTGCAGATCAACATAATAAGAGATATGTAATAAAAAGTTAGTTACCTCGTTCAATTCATCTGCTTGGGGGACTCGGCGAAAGGCGTGCAACGAGTGGGGTAGCTCAAGAGGTGCAATAGGATCACACGAACCTTCTTCTTTAGGAGCCCTCATCCGCATAAGAATGTGCCAGCTAAGAAATAATAGAGTAGAAATATCATTTACTGACAATATCTCCTGAACAGAATAAAATTTAGTTTTACTAGATTGTATATAACTTTAAAAAGCAATAGACAGTTACCATGAGAGACCAAAAGAAATTCTAGCGTCAATTGAATACTAAACGTGATTGCATTTACTCCAAGAGTTAGACTATGCATCACATAGCAAGACCATGTACAAGTCACTACCAGAGACAGAAGTGGCTGTCTTTTTCTTTGTATCAATTATCATAATTAGAACATTTGTCACTTTATCCTACTCTAGATTGTACAATCCCATACTTTTATACACCTTTCTGCATCATCTGTGTCTTGAAATTAGCACTAAAATCTTTGGAATAAATGCAAAAATCTTACCCAAAGTGATTAACATGATAAAAGCCTAAAACTTCTCCTTGATATAAAGGTGAAATAATCAAGACAATGGTTAACTTCAAATACATGTCTAAGACGCAGCAATGCAAATTTCTGAATACAGAAATTTTGGAGAAACTTTTACTGGCTCAGAAGCATGACAACATACACCGTAATACAAATTCAACCCATATCAGGTAACATGAAGTAAAACTAAAAAATAAGCAATAATCAGTATTATGACAAAAAAATCTAACTTCGTAAAATGATATACTCACAATGCACCTACATCTACTGAGGAAGTATATAGGTAGCAGCAAATTTTGAACACGATAAATTGCATATAGTAATATTGTCTACCTGTCAACTTTCATCTGATTTGCATTCTTTACTTGGTTCAAGAATGCCTTCACAGATTGATAATTTGTACCAGGATTTTTCTTCCCCTTGAATAGCGCAAAAAAAAAAAAATTTAATACATTAGTCATTAGAACCGTGACAGTAACAGATAATTCTAGAATTACACTAAACAGTGCTGGTTGCCAAGACTATGCCAATTGTACAGCTTAGTGGAAATATATTTTATATGAACCAAGCTAGGGATTGAGCCAAAGAGAGAGAGTGGTAATATGTAATTCTTCATAAGATGGTGTATACATTGAAGTAGACTTCCATGCTATACACACAAGTAACAGAAATAAATTGGTAAAGAGCATTACAGAATGAGCCTAATAAAACATTAAGGAAACAGAAGTCGCAAATAGAAATTCATGCAACAATTGTTAAGGTGATCATAGTTCCAATGCTAAAGCTAACAGACAATATATGATAAGATCAGAATTCAGAGGTACTATGATCACTTCACCACTTTCGTCATTGAACTGAAGACATAACTTAGGGACCACTAAAGGATATAATCTTACCCAACCAAATGAAAATGGAAGATTATTTCCTGTTCCCAGTGGCATCGTTGCAATTGGTGGTGGATGTGCTAGTTTAAGGTCAGAAACCACTCCAAGGAGCCAACCAGCTGTTCCGTCCCCACCAGCAACCTGCAAAAGTAATTATGTTTGGAAGACATTAAACAAAAGTAAATCATGATTTCAGTTTAAATTTACGAAGTGCACCGCCATTTTTGGTCTTTCTGATACATCATTGCTTCAGCTTACAATAATTCTCAACCGCCTCTGAATTTCAGCAGACAATTTATCTCCATTTTGCTTTAGCTTCTCCAAGTTGAAGTAAACTTGGTATAGCACCTTGTCAGGTGTCTTTTCCCCCAAATCAAACACCTGGAAAATCAGAAATCCGGATGTCAAAACTCATTAGTGGCACTACCCTCTAAATTTCTTTTGAAGTTCATCCTCTGAAATTGAGCACTAAAAAAACTAGAAACGAGAACCAGGACCTGATTTTTGTTGAGAAGATTCCTATATGTTGTTAAGAGTTCACCCCCCAGCTGCCCACCACTTTTGGAATTGATGAATACTATAACAGGAGACTCAGGAACATGGCATTCTTCTCTTTTTTCTGATTCCGTTAGAAGTATGTAATCAGGAATGTAGTGCTCTTTCAAAATTTCTACAGTTTCTGAATTACTAATAGCAGGCTCTTGACTGAGAGAGAATATCGAGCAAATAAAACATATTCAGCTTTATATAATCGAGCAGTCAGTTACAATTCTTATTATGGCAGAAGCTCATAAAAATCTACGCAGAAATGAAGAATTAACCCACAAAAATCAGGATAAAAAGTACCAGTCAATTGTTCTAATTGCGTGTCATTATACTTGCAATCCATTTCATGAAAATCCATAGAATACTTACTTTCTATAAAGAAAACTTTGAAGCGATTGCTTTAGCTCCTTTCCCATGATTTGTAATCCTATCGCCAACCTGCACAGGCAATTGGCGGATTTGTTAACCGAACATATAATTTTTCCACAGCACAGCCAAATAATCCATATATAGGAAGAAAAAAATCAAATAAGATTTAAAAAACATAATTCCAGAAAAAAAAGGGATAATGAATGTACCAAACAGAAAATTCAAAGGAGACTCCAAACAGGTAAAAAGTGTAAACGGAGTCTCTAAAAGATACCCTTGCGTCAGAACAGATTATATGAAATCTCAACAAAAATCACTAACAAATGATGAACCAATTAACCCAAGAAATCGAATAGACGACGTCCCTCGATTTTTTTTTTTTGCGGAAAACGAGGCGGATCACCCCCCTCTCTCTATTTATTTCTATCTCTCTTCCTATCCTATCAGAGCAAGAGCGCCTTCTTATGCTGACGAATTCAAGTTCCTTCTTCTATAAATACTCAAATTCAGAAATTGAAAATTCGTGCATGCGATATATACACGCACATAATTTTTTTTGCATATTTTCCGGCGGCTGAGGAGAAAACGAGTGCACGGGCAAATCGGAGGGAAGTGCAGGATACGAATTTATTGTGAGTTTCAACATGGCATGATTTTCCATTTCTTGAGTCTCTTTTTTTCAATTTTCAGTTAAAAACCAAACGAAAATTTCGAGAATAGGATGCGCGGGCAGATGGGCCCCGTTGAGAATCCGGACGTGGAGGCTGCTCGTGGGTTTGGCCAACATGCAGTTTGACAAATTTGTCAATGCTATATACTCAAGTCAAAGTTTGTTTTTGCAACAAACTTTGCTTATAATTTCTAAACAATTTTTATTTGAAAATTTATACTTTTTTTTTTTCTAAATCACTTGACATATTTATTAACTCGAATTGTCACGATTGTATGACGAGATAAAAGTACGAATATAATCAATTCTGTAAATGCTCAATACTAAAAAAAGCAACAAAAGAGATAAGAGTTATGATCGATATTATAAGATTCGAAAGTAGTAGCAATATGTATGACATCCACTTTCATTAACAGTAATAAAATATCAAGAAATAGAAAGAGCATTAAAGTCATTATCGACTATCAACATCACCCGCATTATGTTGGATTTCAAAGTCATTCTCGACTGCAAAGTGGAGAATGTAACAAAGAGCCATTGCCTCGACCACCTCTGAAGAAAAAACGACCATCCACCCTAACTGCAAAGGCCATGAGCACTCAGCCTGTCCCATCTCGAATAACACCCTCAACACCAATGTTACCATATCGGACCCCTCGAATCAGAGATTCACTGCTCAATCGAGTCCACCTTGCTTGGGACGGAGACACGCTCCTTATTTATTTTTCAAAAAAAAATATCTATCCTCTTTTTATTATAAAAATTTAAATTAATATATGTTCGCGACATTTTTTCCCCAAAATGGATAATAATGGTGCTACGTCATTTTAAAAAATATAAAATAATCTATTTATTTTTTGTTTAATAAATGGAAATAACACGCCATCTTCTTAAATAGAAACCATGTGTTTACAATAGTGACAATATTGAGAAATATATTGGGAATATCTTCTATATATTAAAAGTGGCTATGTAACGAAATTTCTTGTTTTTAACGGAAAAACTAACGGAATTTGTTGTTTTAACGGATTATGTAACGGAATTTCTTGTTTTAAACAGGCAGATGCACCTTCTTTCACTGTTTTTATCATAACTTTGTATTCCGATATCCGATTGAGGCGATTCAAAATGCGTTGGAAAGCTAACTCATCTGGCTACAACTTTGATTCAGACATCATTCTCCAATTCGATCACTTTCTATACTAAAAATAGGTCTCA